TTCATAAATGTGAGAGAATAAATCAGAGAAATGTGGCTGCAGGACAATGGTTTGGTGGCCAGAGAGGCTGGGCCTTGGGTCCTGGCTCCAGCAGCAAGCTGAGTAGCCTGACTACTGTGGGCTTTATCTATAAAATGGAAGCAAAACTATCACTGTTGGTGGCTTGGTTGGCTTCAACTATGCTATGAGAAAATACCACAGACCAGATGGCCTAGGGAGCAGACGTTTATTTTCTCACAGTTTTGGAGGCTGGGAAGTCCCAGATCAAGGTGCCAGCAGAGCTGGGGCCTGGCGAGAGCCCCCTCTCTGGCTTGCAGATGCTTGCCTTCTTGCTCAGCGCTCACATGGTGTTTCCTCAGTGCATTACACAAAGAGAGACAGGAAGAGAAAGAAGGTCCCTTCTTATAAGGACACTGACATTATTGGTACTCCATCCTCATGACCCCATCTAAACCTAATCACCTTCCTAATACCAACCCACTGGGGGGGAGGGGAAACTGAGGAGAAACTGTCCGTAACTCAGCTGAGCAAATCAGATTCTCTACCTGGAAATGCAACGTTACCCCTAACTGAGACAGTGAGAGAATAGTTGGTTGAGGTTGCGGTGGAGAGAACACTGACAGGTACAGAACCCAAGTCAGGTCTGTAACCAAAAGTTACATCCAAGCAGAAGTTAAGGCTCCGAAGAGCATCCATGAGAAAGACAGCAAATACAGGAAGCAGAACTGAGCATACGGGCTGAGAAACGTCGACTTGGGAACTTAATTGTTCCGTGAGGGAAGGGAACAGACTCAGACACTGGTTTTACAAACCCAGGGCCTCCTGTGGCCTGGCTGTACTTTTTCTCCTGCCTCCAGATATTTCCGAGAATCCCTATGTATCCTTTCAATGAACTCTTTTTACTAGAAATAGTCTGACGGACTTTCTGTCTCTTGCAACCAAAAAGCTTTGAATATAATAACTACCAAAAAACTAAATAAAGGAGGCAGGAGATTAATTTGCTTAATAGCAATTCATGTGAAAATGTCCAAGAATAATCTAAAGGTAACATGGGTGAGGGCTGGGAGAACACAGTGAACACACAATCAGAGTTGGGTGAGGTTAACCAGAGAACCTTCTTGAAAGACATGAACTGAATCAAGTTTGGATGAAGGGAGGTCGTGTTTGCAGTGAGAAAGACATTTATCTAGGAAAAGACCTGCAAAGAGACATAAAAAGCAAACCACTGAAAATGAGTTCGAAAGTAAGTTAATAAAATTACCTGCTCATTCAAAGAAATAGGTTTTTAAAATTGATTTCATTTTGGATGTAGTATCTTCTAATCCAATGAAGATTTTTAAATTATTAAATTGCTTTGAAATACACATTTTCTTCTATTCAATAGAAGTAATTTTTTTATTACTTCTGCTGTTCTTAAGTCCAAAATCAAGTTTGTGGTCAGTTGCTATCAATTCTCAGTGAATCAAGTCTTCACATGTTCAAGTTCTGCATATAGGATTTACACAGATATCCTAGTTCATGGCTTAATTATGAAAGGGAAGAACTTTTCTTCAGGTAAACATTCAATCAGTTTTAATATTATGACTTAACAATTTAATCTAATGTTAGTTATTAACTCTAACAATTTTAAGTGCTAAAACATCTTGATGAAAAGATGTTTGTATTATTTGTTTAAATTCCAGTGTTTGCTTTAACACCACCCACAAAAAAATATTATAAGCTCTGCTTGTTAGGATTATATCACAATTGACTATCTGAAAGAGCATATGAGAATTCTTGAGCTCTGACCATGTTTGACATGAATGTTATGTGTCACCAGCATGACCAGAGAGCTGTCAAATAAATCAATAATTACTGGCAAACTAAGAACAGGTGACTCTAATGGGAATGACAGAAAATGGATGAGAACAGCTGTTATATGACAGTCTTTCCTTGATGACCACAAAAAGATCATAAAAGTGTAATAAAGGTCAACTATAACTGCTAATATCTTGCTATCATATTTTTGGGGAAGAAGTTCAAACTTACTTAACCTGAACCCATTTATTTGTTCCACAATATTTATTGAGCTCCTTGTCATGTGTCAAGCTCTTGGTGTGCACTGCTGAATAAAGGAGTCCCTCTTTGTGGCACTTATGATATGGGGAGGTTTGGGACCTCTTACACACAATTATTCCAGTGTGTCATCCTCATTCACGCTTTTAATCCTTCTAATATGCTGTCACTCCTCCACTGAAGATGCTCCCACACACACAAACCATGCATATGTGCAAGGGCACGTGCAAAACCATACACATGTGCAAGGGACCATACAAAAGCACACATTCTTTGTGTAGCTATTCCTTACTCCTCAAACTTCAATCTAAGTATCACCTACATTGGAAAGTTTGTTCTTAATTTCCTTTCTTCTAATATAAATGTCCCACCTCCTGTGCTCCCATGTATCCTCCCATTCATGCTTTTATCAACGTATTTATCATGATGTGTAATCTGCTACCATTGTTGATTTATTACAGGTATCCCCTATAAAGATAGGGGCCTAGATCTAACCCAATACTTACACCAATAGGTGTCCTGTAAATATTCCTTGAGTGAATAAATAAAAGAACTTCTGCGTAGCTGTGGTGACAGATAGGCTAAAATACAAAATCATCTTGGACATTGAAAACAGCGGTTTTAATCAAGATCAAAAAAATATTTTGATATGCAAACAGGAAGAAAGGACTATCCATCTTACATTGTCATAAAAGCTTGGGAACAGATTCCATTTAATACCTGAGTATCATAGGAATGTTACAGCCTGCCCTTCACCAATTCAGCACTTCAATTTAGCAAAAGCCTGGGACAGTAAGGATTCTTTGACACTGATTGATCTAATACATGTGGCAAGCGCACACACACGTACACACTCCAAGTCTTTCCCTTAAGGTGAATTAATTGGGTACATCAGCTTACTGTTTGGGATACAGCACACACAAGGTACTACATAACAGATGTTCTCCTGGGGAATTAAAAAAAAATCCTCTAATTTCAGGGGGAAAAAATCCATTTCAAAATTCTACAAGTGTGAAATTTTAGCAGATGGTGCTAAATAACGTATCACATCTCGGGGACCTGGCTTATGCCACATCATGTTGGGCTGCAGCTGAACAGCCTGGCCTCCTGATTTAAATGCAACCCAGAGATATATTTGTCATTTCCATGACATTGAGTGAAAGGCTTTAATTCATGCTCAAGTTGCTTTTACACAACATGAACTATAAGTGAGCTAGAAAAGACATGCAGCATTCTGTCCCTGTAACTAGGAAGATATCTCAGAGAAGCAACGGAGGGAAGAAAGCCCTGCTTCTCCATCAAGACGGGTCCTTTGCAGACCCTGAGTGTTTGGGTTTGCATCATGGACCATTACTGTGAAAGGCACCGAGGAGGCTGAGAGACTGTCTCTGCCCAATCAAAAGTGAGTGAGGAGAAGTCCAAATATTACAAAGCCTCCAGCAGAGATTGGAAGGCAGGAAAAGTGATGGGGCTCTTTCAACCCGGGCTTCTTAGTCCATGTGCCAAAGGAGCAGGACATGAGGGGGCACAGCCATGTCACACCCCGAGTCCCACAACATCCAACCAAACTGCTCTGTGCTCAGCCGACTAGGCCCCTGATCACATGCCTGCAAGTCAGGGCAGCTTCAAACTGCTGTAGACATTCTAGACGCTTGCTCTTAACTCCTGTTCTCGCTTTATTGCAGACAGAACAAGCCATCCAAAGCCAGTCCAAAGGCCACATTTGCAGTAGCCTGGATCTGAAACTCCTAGAGTTTTTTCTTTAGGCTCACCACTAGGACTGAGCAAGGTGGTGGAAGGTGACTGGTGACAGTTTATTGATAGTTTGCTGTGGTATTTAGTTTAATGGATGCTGAGAGCAAGAAATAGCTCAACAAGGGACTGACTTTAAAAATGGACTGTTTAGAGCCCCTCAATGGGCAGAAAAGCAGTTCTGCTTGTTGGCAGCATCAGGGACGGCTTTCAAAGGATGATATCTAAGGAGTTATCAAGGAGGACAAAACAAGAAAATCCAAGTCCAGTTGAGAAAGCATCCTCACTAGGATGTGTGAAAACCGCAGGAATTATGAATTATGTTAGCGGCAGGAGGAAGTTTCTCCCTCTCCGTTGTTTATCTTCCCCCACTGAGTCTTCAATTCCTGAGTTTAAATGCTACAGATAATTACTAATTCATAGGACAGGAAGGAATATTTATGGACACAACACAGAGAAGACAGACTTTAAAATGGGTTTTTCAGCCTGTCCTAACTTTTTCCACTAAAATATAGATGATGACACTAAAATACCTATGGTGACCAAGGACAAAAACTATTATATCTCCAAAAATGAAAACTGGCAACCTGTCACAAGGATCTTTTGGGGAATTCTATTAATCTAACAATGGAGGTGGGTTTTTAAAAATTGAAAAGCCTAACCATGCCTCATCTGGTGAAAGAGAATATCTCAGGCACCTAAAAATGAAGAAAGAGATTATTGTCTTTGTTCCTCTTCCAGTCTCTTCTTTCTGACTTAGAGACCTGCAGACTATAGTCTCACTGCTGCATAACATTTTGAGGAACCAAAATTTCACAGCTCTTCACCTGGCATCATCCTATGATGGGTGATGGAGACTAATTCCAAGAGAAAAACAGGTGAACCCTCTAGGAATGATTCCAGCCATTTGTTCTTGGCATTGCAGATTTCCAAGCACTCTGTTCTGTTATGGGTGAGTCTCCAAAATAAGGTGCACAGAAGAGTAGTGATGAAATGGCTTTCCAGAATGTTCTGTGAACAAAGAATTTGAGGAAAGAATTTGTAGCCCGTCCTTGGATGTTCACAGCGCACTTAACAATTTTGAGATTTCCTGCAGGAAATAGTCATGTTTACATGTTTATCCTAAAATTTGTTTGCCTAGATAAAAATTTACTCACATAATCTTTATATCTTATGTAACAATTACTTTGCAGAAAACACCTTGAGAAAATCTTGCTCAAAGAAAATAAAAGAAAGTAAAAGTAAGACCAGATGTCTTTTCTGTACTCTGAGCTGCCCTGGATGGATGTCTGGTTGATCATGAGAGGTGAGCAAGAAGACTTTCCCATCAATTACCTCATATAATCAAATTATTCCCCAATTTTGAGCTGAAGAGAGAATTCATCCAGTACCAGATGTGTCAGTGAGCAAAACCTGTCTGATCACAAATACCGAGTTAAAAAAGAGACTTCTCTCTATTCCAGGATAAATAAAGAAGAAACACATTTAAGTCTATAAATTAGCCCAGAAGTAGGAAAAAAGCAACATCATCTGCAAGACGTCAAAGCAGATCATTCTCTAGAGATAATTGTATGTGCCACTCAGTGTTTTACATTTTAAAGTATCAGTGGGACATACAACTTCAATCATATGGTAACATGAAACTTACAAACAAGCTTAAATAGACTTAATAGACTTAAATAAATTAAAACATTTATTTGAAAACTAAAAAATTAATCTCCAGAGTTAGCATATTGTTTGGTTACATTCTTGTAAGGAATAGATACTTGTCACACTATATAAACAATTCCAGGGTATATAAAAAGACAAAAATCCTCCTCATTTCCTTCACAAAGCTGGCATAGTCTTGATACTAAACCCCCACCACCACCCCCCCACACACAATCTGCTACTGGTACTGACACTTACTGACAAATACCAACAATCAGCATGAATGTAAAACTCCTAGATAAAATTCAAATGTATTAAAAGCATAATCCACCATGAAAAAAAATAGTATTTATTCCAGGAACACAAGGCTTGTTGCAATGCTAATATCCCGTGATTGGTAAAAAACAGTAAAATTTGAACTCCAGTGCTATGTGTGAAGAGTGGGTATAAGGTCCCTTCCGGCCCTGTTTCAAAAAGTGGTCAGGGACTCGGAGATTCTCTCATTTCCAAAGTTTTCTTTGGACGAGAAGAGAGAAGCTGCTTGAAGACAAAGCTGCTTCTTATTTTTTGGAAAAGTCTACGCTCCCTGAAGCAAGATGATGGACTTCTCAGGCAGAAGTGTCCTTGAGGGCAGACACAGGAAGAGGACTTCAGTGGCTTTACACTGGGGAGAGGCAGGGATCCACAGGTCAGAGGCGGTGGGGACATGTGCATGAAAAGTGGAACAAAAGCAGTGGAATCATGTAGGAACATTCTAGCTGGATTGGTACAGGAAAGACTGGCCTCCAGTGAGCTGTCATTGCCTGAAGACTTGTGACAATCCTTCCCCCGTGGCTGACATGAGGAAACAGGATCCATGAGAGACATGTTCCTTCCCCTCAGAGTCAAATTCATTAATTTATTGACAAATACTTATTATATGACAGGGGCTAGAGAGAGCAGGAATAACAGACAACTAACTAGCCCTCAGGAACTTATATTCTAGATGGAAGAGATAACAATAAATAATTAACACAATATGAAAGTAAACTATATAGTATGTTAGAAGTTGTAAACCTCTGTGGAATAAAGAATAAAGACATGTTGGAGACTTTTGTGATCTAGTCAAAAAAATACGGTGGTAGCAGCAGACGTGATGAGAAGTGGTCAGAGTCTAGATATCTTGAAGGTAAAGTCACCATTATTCTTGACAGATTGGATGTGGAGCATGAGGCAATAAAAGTAGTCAAGAATGACTCCAGATTTTTCTGTTGGAGAAATTGGAAGATGGGATTGCTGTCAACTGATATGTAGGAAGAAATGAGGATAGAGCAGATTGGGAGGAAGAGATGGAAGGATTCAGATTTTTTTTTTTTAACATATTGAACTTCATTTTTCTGTTAAACATCCAAGTGGAGGTATTAGGTAGGCATTGGATGTAAAAGCCAGGAGTGTGTGATTTAAGTTAGCTTTTAAAAGGAAGGAAGAAAAGAAGGAAGGAGAAAGGAGGGAAGGGAAAAAAAGAGAGAAGGAGGGAGGGAAAGAGAGAGGGGGAGGGAGGAATAAACAAGCTTTTTACACAATAAGATTTTGGACCCAAATTCAATTGCACTACATTTTTATCAACAACACGTAGTGGGATGTTTTAAGGGTTTTAGAGAAGTTAGCTGGGAGATGCTGGAAGCCACAGGGAAGATTTCACAGAGATAACTACAGTTTGACTGTGCTTGGTGGGGTGTAAATGAGCTCACCAGGCTGACAAGGAAGACAAAGCCAGGAAAAGAGCAGGAAACTTCAAGGTATAATGGTAGGTAAGCCAGAGTGACTAGAACCTTCAGTGGATGGAGGGGAATGACTCCAAATGAAGCTGGAAGAATTAGATGGGTTTATTCACAAAGGCTCTTGTTCAATGTGCTGATGAATTCAACTTATTGTGAATATATTTGTGTAATAGCAACTGAGAACAAAATAGGAAAAGCCGAGGCACTGGAAACTAGGTGTGGAGTCTTTAGTTGGTGGAAGAGAATCATGCTGTGCTTTAAAACCTGAGTAAATGCAGCAGACTAAAGAGTTACTGCAAAATACTGCAGATTCACTATAAAACTGAGCATTCTAGATCTCGTGTCATCAGAGGAGAGGTATACCCAGAACAGAAAGGAGACATTATTCTAGGAAAACCTGACTAATGATTTAACTTCTGGCCTAGGAAAGAACAATGGCAAGATCACCCCAGGATGGAGCTTCAGTCCTGCTTAAAATTGTTTATATTTACTATGTGTCTATGTTTTAAGTTAACTGATAAGAACCAGTTAATATCCATTCTCATAGTGCACATTTAATTCTTTTCAACCAATTCTTCTATTTCTTTTATAGGTAGTTTGCATTAAAAACCCTTTTGATTATACACTAATATCAGATGTAATTATTATTAAAGGTGCTTGAATCAGAAAAAGCTCAACTAATGCCTGCATTCAAAGAAAACTGTTAAATGGACCAATTAAACAAGCTCCCAGTAAAGCGACGAGTCACATCTAAGACATGCATGACTTTTATGGATATTTCCCCTTTAAACCTAAACAATACTTCCCAGCTTGCCAGTTTATTCTGCCCTGCCCTGGAGAAGGCTCAGGCAATCCCATTATGTTATGAGAATGGGATTAAGATGAAGTAGTCCTTCCATGTTGACCACATGCTTATCAATTGAATATCTCATGTAGAGCCAGCTTCAGGACCACAGAGACACAATGCAAGGTTCAAAGACGTTGGGTGACCTTCTACGAGGAGTATGAACATACAGCGCCCAGATTCATAGTGCTTCCTGAGGCTTCTGCTTACTGGTACATTTCAAACATCGTCGTGCTTTGCGTCCCACTTTTTTATACAAGCCCAGAAATCTTTCCCAAATGGCCTTAAGAGTGCTCTTATTCTTGGACCTGGACATTTTCAATAATCAATTTAATGCCTTGAATAATCTTCCGCTGTGATTTGACCTAGCCTTCCGTTCCCACTTAAAAACTTGGACTTGAGGAGGTATCTTTTTTCCTTAGTAGAGCAAATTAGGGAATATTTTTAGGTAATGCATATCCGTTAAAACATAAAAGGATTGTATAGATGGCAACTAGTAAACATTTAGGGACAACAATGAAATGGAACACTCTGTTGCCTATTTGTGGGTTCAGCAGGCATCCCACAGAGTGATTAAATCATTAAAGTTTTATGGAAGTCCTGAGTCACCGACACCTCTAAAATAAAGCCACCCTCGGAGAACCCAGAACTGTGGGGCTGAGAGATTCTCCTTTTCTGGGCATTAGATACCTCTGGATTCAACCCAAAGCTGGCACTGAGTCATGAGAGAGCTGCACTTTCTTTCAAAAGAAATCAGCCAATTATTTTTACTCTCTTATGGGGCAGGAGTGCGAGGGAGACAAGCTTTTCTCTTTTGTTTTTCATCTCATCATGGAATGAACATTCAGTGCTATATATTTCCTCCCACAATAAAAGCTAAAAGTTTAACCAAAGAGATCTAGTCATAAATTTGTATCATCTATTCCAAATCAATCCATGCTTAATTACATACGTTGGTAAATTTTCCAGACCGAATCTCAACTAAAATTTCTCTTTTGGTATCTCAGTCCATTTCCTGTCCTGTAACAAGGAAATATTCTTTTATTTTTCCAGCACATTTTTTCGGCAAGCCCTACCCTCACTCTGATTTCCATCTTCTTTGGGTAAATACCCCTCCTCCCCACTGCAGCATATGGTCAGGAGGAGAGCTGCCAATCACATTAACCGCTCTGCGGGTCAGAGGGCCTGAGTGTGACCTGAACGGGACCCTGTTTGTAAGCTCTACAAACAGGGACTTAGGGAAAGGGGATGCTTTTCTCTGGTGTCAGGCTTTATGCTCTGAGTCTGAATCTGTGTGGTGACCTTGTGGAGGAGGCCTGTAGGGAAATACATCGAGAGGAGTAGGGATGAAAGCCAGAAGAGAGAAAGACTTGAGCGTATCTGAGTCCCCATATCCAGTGGTCCTGGAGACTCACTGACATCTTCTGTCCTTCCGTTTTGCCTAAGTTAGTTCAGGTTGCATTTCTGTTACTTGTATGAAAAGCACCCTAATTAAATATAGACCCTCTCATAATTCCTCCATTAAGAGTGGAAAAAAGAGATGAGAAATCTCAGCCCAGTCTGTTTTTTATTTGATTAACAAATCTGGTAAAAAGTTTACATCTAGGACAATCTGACCCACTGGCCAGCTGAAATTGGGAGTCAGAGGCGGATGCGGACAGTGTCTACCCACTGGTGTGGCGCCATCTCAAAGACAGCGTGGCGTCCGGTGTCTGGCGTCACGGGCGCCCGCAGGCAGCTCCTCACATGCTCAGACTCTTCGCCCCTCTGGCTCCTGAATCCAGATGAGGTCACCGTGTGATCTCACCTCAGAGCGCCTTCAGAGGGCAGGAAGTGGGGTGTAGGTGAGTCAAGAGCAGAGGCGAGATTCCCTCCTTTCAAGTCAAGTTTCCAGGCAGAAAGGAAAGAGGGAAAAGATTCCACAACCAGCTCACTCTGCAGGCTGGTAACCAGTGACTCTGCTCCCTATAGAAGATTAGCCTGGAGGCCCCGAAGCCTCCCCCACACAGAGCTGAGCCACTCCCCCCACAGAGCTCATATTTTCAC